AGAGACGTTCGTAGAATATGACGTTGTGAGCGTTGGCAGTCTTCTGACTGAGGAGGTCCAGCACGATCCACGCCTTGTGTTCGTGGCTGATGCCGAGGTGAATTCCCCAGCGCGCGCGGCTGGCGAATTTGCCAATAGTTGACGTTGGCGGGCGGTACTGCACCATGCATCCCCATACGCGCAGCATCGATGTGTCCCCCTTAGTCCCGGTCCACTTGACGTGCGGGGACAGATTGCCGGTGATGGCGGTGGTCGAAAGCAGGTTGTGCACCCGCACGGCGTGGTGCATAGCGTAGGTCCAGTAGATCGGCGGCAGTTTCGACTGCTTCATCAGCGCGCGCACCTTCGTCATTAGTGTGCGGTTCGTCCGCTCAGCTACGCCCTGCTGTTGGTGTGCGTAGGGGAGAGAGATGTGGTGCTCGATCCCCTTCTGTGCCAGGAAGGTCTGCATCTGGTTGCTCCTGAACTCTGCCGCGCCGTCGGATTGCCAAATCTTAAGCTTCTTCCCAGATTGCCGCTCCGCGTGCGGCAGCCAGAGGCGAAATACCTCGTAGGCTCTGTCTCGCGACTCCACATTCACGACCCACACATAGCGCGTTCCAGCGTCAATGAAGGTGAGCGTGTATAGCTCATCCTCGACTCCGCAATGCCCCACGTTCAGGAAATCGCTGTACACCTTGTGCAGCTTGGGGTAGCGGTTTGTTCCAGGTTCGAGCAGCGGGAACGGTTGGTGGCTCAGCGCAGCTTCGGGGCAGACGGTGCAGTTGCGCGGGTGTGTCGCGCCACTCACTTCGGAGCCATCAGGGCGCAAGAGTGCGCCAGGAGCGAAGACGCCAGCGTCGATGCAGTTTTTCAGCGTCGCGCGGGAAGGGTGTCCGAGGCGCTGATGCCAGAGGGCATCGTCAGCGCGAAAGCCGGAGGTGCGCATATAGCGCGCGCGCGCTTCTTCAGGGTCTTCGTCAGGTACAGGAGCAGGTTCTGCTGCTACTTCTTCGACTTCTTCTTCTTCTGCCGCGGTAGTCAGCATCAGCGCCAAGAACTCTCTGTCGCGAATGTCAGAGAGTGGGATGTTGGTCCCAGGGATGGTTCCAGGGACTAAGGTAGGTTGGCGTGGCTCAGGGGCAGGTCCGTAGACAGTGCGACGCGGGGTTGACAACTCGTTGCCCCAGATGATGGTGTCCCAAGGGTCGCGACGCGGGGGAATGTCTGCAGGGGGTGGTGCGAGCGGGATGTGACGCGGGGGACGACCGAGAGGAACGATTACAGGTGCTGCTTCGGTTTCTTCGCGAATGTCCTCTATTTCTTCGCGAATGTCCTCTCCCCCCCTTCGTTCTTCGCGGGAAGTGCCCCAGCCGCTGTCTGCGGCGGTAGGTACGGCGCCCCATCCTCCGCTCGCGTTGGCCCAGTTTCCGCCAGTGTCGCCCCAGCCGCCAGTATCACTGGTTCCCCATCCTCCAGCGTTCCCCCACCCCCCTTCATTGGAGGCACTTTCTTCCTCCTCGGCTCCCCAGGCGACGCAAGCGAAGGTCCCGCGGGCTTCCGTGAGACTTTGCTGGCGAAGCTCCTCAGCTTCGCGGCGCGCCAGTTCTTCCTCCTGCTCCACGGTGAGTTTTGCCGTGGGATCACGCCAGTGAGGGTAGACCTTCATGAATTCCTCGAGAGTGTAGGGGCGCGGGACTCCTCGTGAGTCCAGGCTTCCGCGGCGTTGTCCGCGCAGGATGTTGTCGAGCCGCTGGGAGGGAGGTCCAGCGTGGGGACTTTGATCGGTGCCGAACACGCGGTGAGTAGCGACTTCAAGCTCGAGCTGCGACATCCCTTCCTCGGGAGGCGCGGTACGCTCTGCTTCAGCGATGGCGGCGAGTCCGCGGCCTGCGATCGCGCTTGTTGAGGTCGTCGGCGTGTGGCAATCCCTGCATATGCCGTCGGGGTCGGGGTTGTGTAACGCCGTTTCGCGTGGGTGAGGATGATGCGGCACCCACGGTCTGCCGTCAGGGTGCTTCCAGTCCCTGCGGTGGATGTGCTCGAAGCGCAGTGGCACGAGGTCAATCAGCTCGTGCGAATCGCCGCTGCAGTCGGGGATGTCGAAATCCAGGACGTACACTCCATTTTCGGAGTGCGCTCGTCCGATCTGTCGGCGGGGGAAGTTGCGCGCCTCATAGTGCAGCAGGATATCTCGCGTCGCGCGGTCCGTGCTGAGGTCGACGCCGCAATCCATGAGCTGTGCGGCGGACAGAAGGTTGAAGCGCAGGTTCTGGACGATCAGCACATCGTTAAGCGTGATGTGCGTGCGGCTCCCATGTGCTTTGAGCACGACGATACCTTGCGCGCTTGCGCGCAGGCGTGTGTTGTTCGCCACGGTGACGTACGTGACGGCAGGGGTGGGGACGGCGTTGGATATGTAACGCTCGGAGCCCACCATGTGCTGGCCGCAGCAGCTGTCCAGGTACCAGGTGTTGTAGCGCTTGTTGTCGTCACGTGCGAGCAGCGCCAGTCGCGGTGTGACGATGTGCGGAGTGTCGAACTTCAAAAACTGTTCGCGCGAGAGCCAGTCACGTGGCGCCACCCGCATATCAGATACATGCGGGGGAGTTTCAAGCAGCGGAACTGGAAGATTCCAGTCTTGGTCGTCGTCGTCGGTGAAATCGTGGCGCGGGCTGAACGGGTTGTTGTTGGTGAACGCGCCAATCGGGTGCGGTGCCGGCTCAGGTGACGGTGAGCGAACGCGGCGACGACGCGACTCGCCTGTCATGGCCATGCTGCTCATGACGTTGCGAACTGGGGCAGTCGATGACGGCTGCTGCTGCTGATGCTGAACCGCGGGGTTCAGGTTGCGCGCGGGAGGGGGCTGATACCCCTGGGCTGGACGCACGTCGCCTCGTGCGTCTTGACGGCCGGACCAGGTGCTCGGATTGGTCTGGCGAGGGCGTGATCGGTTCTTACATCGATCCGCCAAGTGCCCAAAATTTCTGCAGATTTTGCAGTAGAGGCGCCGTGGCTTTCGCTCTTCAGTGTTGTCGGCGTAGAAGGCGAGCCGTTCGCGTTCTCGTCGCGGCGCTGGTCGCTGCTGATCCATATCCCTCTGTTCGACGAGAAGGGCGGCGCAAAGGGCGGCCTCCGAGATGACCCCCTGCTGTCGAAGAAGCGCCTTGCAGGGCCGCCACTCTGGGCCGAGCCCTTGAAGCACAATGTTGACGAAGATTTCCTCGAAAATCGTGCTTCCCAACTTCACGATTTGATCGCGAAGGCTCCGACAGCGGTTGAGGTAGTTGTTGACTTTCTCCTCTGCGGTCATCTTGGTTTCCAGGAGTTCCTGGAGTAGTCGGCTCGAAGAGACGGAGTCCTTGGGCTGGTAGACTCCCGTCAGGTGCCTCCAGGCGTTAAGGGCTGGAGCAGCTGTGGTTTTGTATGAACGAATGTTGAGCTGCTCCGCCGCCGACATATTCCGCAGGAGCACCCCGTACGCCATTAGTGACTCGTTGTAATATCGCGCCTTGGCGTCGTCGGTGTCCTCAGCAGGCTCCGCGTAGCTCCCGTCGAAATAGTGGAAGATCTGGGCAATCTGAAGCAGGAGCTCCAGCTCGAAGCTCCAGGTGTAAAAGTCTCTGCCGTCAAAACAGGTACTTGTCTTTATTTTTGATATGCTGAGGAACCTTGATTGAGCGGAGAGAATTGCCTCTTCACTGGGACGGGGAGTCTTGGGGGTTGAGCCATTGGTGTCGAGGGAGAAAGTTTGCGGGGTGGCGTTCTGGCCAGTCGGGGCCGGTTGAGAGGGTTGCGAGGATGTTCCCGCATCGCCATTCCGCAATGTTTGGAGCCCTTGCTCCAAGCTGGTGAGTCGCTGAAGAAGTTGTGCGAGAACTTCGGAGTTGATTGTCGTCGTGTTCTCGCTTGTCGCAGCCGGATTGGGTTGCGCTTCAGCCGTCAGATTAGTTTGACCACCAGATCCTCCGGCCATCTTCACTCGTGAGCGTGTGCCGGACGCCACTTTCCGAATGTCGCAATTTTCGGGAGTGGTAGTGCGAAGGATTCCTGAGCCGCTCTCATACCATGCTGCGATCAGAAATTGATCGTAGCCCAGGATCTACCCAGGAAGGTTCGCACGCAGTGAGATAGTTGGTGGGCCCTTGATCCCAATAGCAGAGTGAATGTAAATGTTTGAGATGATAAAAACATGCAAACAAGGTCATATAAATAAGAGTACAAGGGAATGCGAACAGACCTATCTAGCCATGTACTCTAAGGGGTACATTCCCTTATTCAATTCACTCCAACCGTGCGGCGCGTACAGTTTCGTAACTGTTCCCGCCAAAACCATCCTGCCTGCAGCTGCCCGATGCCGTCTGCTTCCGACGGTCCAGATGCGTTCCAACTGTCCGTCGCTTCGAGTCAATTCCAACCGTCTGACGGTTCGCGTTCATTCTCGTTACTGCGTGCTTCTCTTTGCTGCGGTGAGGAGTGCACAGTAATATCAAATATTACTATTCGTAACAGGAATGACCGTCGCAAGAAGTTTTCCCTGGGTCGCGAGAGTTCTTTCAAACAAAAGAGGTAACCCTGTTTTAAACGACTTCAAGTTCAAGAATCCTGAACTTGAAAAATACCATGCTGTACCCGGGCTTTAACCAACAACAGGCAAAGATTTGGACGCCACTGTTCAATCCGCGAAATATGTTGTATAAAGTGCAAAAGGGGTTTGAAAATTTCCTACACCACTATTCAATCCGCGAAAGTACGTTACTATCTGCCTGTTTTGCAAACACTGCTTTCGCGAAAGTCTCCCACCCCACAAAACAAGTTTCTGAGGGATGCGTGATTTGTTAATTCCCATTCACGTGCATCGTTCATAGCCCTAAACAGCCAGAGTCCCGTATAACGTGTCCCTCCCACTAGTCGAGTCGCGTAGCGCCGGTTTGAGAAGCAACTTCCTGCCAGTATTATTTCTCGTTTGGTCGTTTAGAAGCGCCGCCCTACACGCGTGTCGATTGTCGCTTCATGTCCCGATGCCAAAAATCAAGACGAACCGCGTGAAGTACCCTGAAGGATGGGAGCTGATAGAGCCGACGCTGAGAGAACTTGAGCAAAAGATGAGAGAAGGTGCGTGCGTGTCGTATCAATTCGTGAAGATTTGGGCTTATGACTTGCCCGTTATCTAGTTATCGTTTGCATAAACGAGAGAATTAGCATTCATCAAGCTGAATTTGCCTATATTCCCTCTGTGCGAGTCACTCACACCTTGTCATCTCTTTTACTGTCAAGGTCCGACAATCCGCCATAAGTACGTTCGCGTACTCGTTGCGTCTGAACCGAAAAAAGTTGTTGTGTAAGTGTTTGCTTCGATGGGATGACGAACGCCAACACAAGTGCGAGTTACTGCGAGTCACTCACACCTTGTCATCTCTCGTACTGTCAAGATCCAACTATCCCACATAAGTCCCGTTACGTTCGCAACGATTCTCGCCATCTTACTCTGTTTAATTCCTCGCCTACGAATCACTCTCTCTCCCCCTCACTCCGTCCATCTCCCTTACCCCTTACCGCCCCCCCCCCCCCTCCCCCAACTCCTCCCATCCCTCTCCATCTCTCCCCCTACTACCTCTTCCATTTTCTAGCAGGAATCAATTCAACACTTGCATGCCATCCCGTTCAGCCTCCTTCGCGCTTCATACCCTTCCCTTTCAACCGTGTTGACAGCTGAGAGCGCCATACACCAGGGCGAGGTGTGTGACGCGAGGCGTTGTGCCCCGGAAGGAGAGTGAAGGGACTAGACGCTGTGGCGAATCTCTCTAATGCCTCGCTGTGTCCTTCTTGAGCCTGCCTCCCTTCACCTCCGTTCAGCCCAGCCTCCTCCGCGACACAGCAGAGAGCGCCACACATGAGAGCAGGCGAGAGCTGCAGCTGCTGCGCCCGATTCGCCCTTCATCTCCTTTCAGTTCCCCCTTCAAGTTTCCCCACCTTCGCTACACCCTTCTCCCCTTCGCCCTCACTCCGTGCTGCCCCCCCATTGGCCCGTGGCACCAGCGGAGAGCGACACGCACGAGGGGAAGCGCAAGTGCGAGGCGGTGTGGCCCATCTTCAAGATCGCGCACCAGAAGAGCCGCTTCATCTACGACCTCTACTACCGCCGCAAGGCCATCAGCAAGGAGCTCTACGACTTCTGCCTCGAGCAGAAGCACGCCGACGCCAGCCTCATCGCCAAGTGGAAGAAGGTGAGGCGCATGGGAAGTGGAAGAAGGTGAGGCGCATGGGCAAGTGGAAGAAGGTGAGGCGCATGGGCAAGTGGAAGAAGGTGAGGCGCATGGGCAAGTGGAAGAAGGTGAGGCGCATGTGCAAGTGGAAGAAGGTGAGGCGCATGGGCAAGTGGAAGAAGGTGAGGCGCATGGGCAAGTGCAAGAAGGTGAGGCGCATGGGCAAGTGGAGAAGGTGAGCCTTTGCCGGCCATGTGGCCCTGTGGAAACATGAACGTGAGTCTGTGTGAGAAACATGAACGTGAGTCTGTGTGAGAAACATGACCGTGAGTCTGTGTGAGAAACATGAGCGTGAGTCTGAGTGAGAAACATGAACGTGAGTCTGAGTGAGAAACATGAACGTGAGTCTGTGTGAGAAACATGAACGTGAGTCTGTGTGAGAAACATGAACGTGAGTCTGAGTGAGAAACATGAACGTGAGTCTGTGTGAGAAACATGAACGTGAGTCTGTGTGAGAAACATGAACGTGAGTCTGTGTGAGAAACATGAACGTGAGTCTGTGTGAGTGGACTGCCTGTGCAAGTGGTCGGCGGTGAGGGGCTGCTGGTGCTGCTTCGATGCACTCATTCACCTCAGAGTGGGTCCGCAACAGTCCGCTTGATCACAGCCCTGGTTTGCGGTACAATGTCAAGGCAGTCTGCTCGTGCATCAAGCACATGCATACCCATATCAGCTCTGTTTTCAAGGGCTTGCAGCACGTGCAGCCAGCGTGTTTCTCCAGCATTCTCTTGGCACTCTCTTGACGCCACTTGCCTGTCCCTACTGTGCATTCCTTTCACCCCCTTCCTGCAATCCTCATCCGGACTGCGTTCATGCGTGAGCGTGCGTGCAGGGTGACATGACATGACCCTTTTACGCAGTCGTGCACCCATTCCCCCACCTTTACCATCCCCACCCCATGTCTGCCCCCTGTGCGCGCCCGCAGGCGGGGTTTGAGCGGCTGTGCTGTGTGCGGTGCATGCAGCCCAAGGACCACAACTTCGGCACCACGTGTGTGTGCCGCGTGCCCAAGCACCTGCGCGAGGAGAAGGTCATCGAGTGCATCCACTGCGGCTGCCGCGGCTGTGCCAGCGGGGATAGCTGACGTGTGTGGCGTGGGGTGGGGGTGAGTGGGTGGGTACATGCTAGAGTAGAGGGGAGCCCTTAGGGGAGCAGAGCAAGGTGGCGGAGTGCATACATTGCGGTCAGGTGCCATTGCTGAGGTTTGCTAGGTATTAGGGGTTATAATGTGGCAGTGGGGCAACATTTAGTGTGTTTAAGAATCTAGCCACGGAACCATGAAACTGTCAATGGTCTACTACTGTGACGAACAGTCACCGGGCTACCAATGTTTTGCATGCGACTCGGAAAAAATCAATGCGAAGTGAATCAATTTTGAGCACCATCTCATACTCGTTATTCTGTACCATATGCACCCCTAGTGAAGTTTTTGGGTAATTGCTGTTGGAAATTGGAATATTATAGGCTGCAAATATTCGATTCCCAATTTCAGTTTTTTTTGGCACGGTGTGGCAAATCGAACACGCCCTAACGCGTCTGTGAATTAGGTTCGACCTTACCAGCGAAGGTTACCCTTCCCACAGCGAAACCAGCTCTGCTTGCGCTAATTTCGCCTTTAGAGGGCTGGGCTAATTTCCAGTTTAGGGTAACGCTCTCTGACGGGGCTGCATGCGACCGCGCCAACCGCAACACAAGACCGACGTCGCGACGTCTCCACGACCAACAACAAACATTCCCCCCTACACAACTGAACGCGTCAAGAACGCGGAGACACCGCAACCGCAATCCGATGGCGAGCAGGGGGGAGGGAGGAAGCTAGTCTTCCAAGGTTAGTCCCCTCCATCCTGCTGAATCCTCCTTAGTCCACGGCCGCCGCGCATTGAGCAGCCCTTAGGCAGCCAATGTATAAGTTGAGGGTGTCCCCTTCCCTTATCTTCAAGTAGGGGTCTTGTGTTTCTCTGGCCATTGCTTTTACCGCACAGCTTCCAGCACACTAGTTGGTAACTTACTGGTTGAACCAGCCCGCCATTCCCAAGGTGGTTAGACGAGGCCGCCATTCGAAAGCATCGCCGAAACTCCTCCGAACCGCCCCGAATTCGCCGCAAATCCTCTCCGCAGCCAATCGGTTCTCACTCTACCCACACGAGACTTCGTTCCACGCGACCGTTTCCGCGTGTCCGTAACGCAACAACAATCCGCCAAGAACCCAATCGCATTCGGATTGGCACGTCTCTCGGCTCTTTCAACACAAATTATTGAATACAAAGTCGTTTGCATCCGACCCACCCGGTCCTCGTCTCCTCCCATCGCCCTACCAGCGCTCTTCTCCCCCGCCTCCCACGCTTTCCGCACAGCCACGATGGCCGCGACCCGTCTGCTCGCCTTTCTCCTCCTACTCCTCGTCTCCCACGCCGTCCTCTCGTCAGCCGCACCTCGTCTGCCGAAAAGAGTCGCTCTGACTGTTCAAGCCCACGCGCAGCGTCTTCGAGCGCGAGCCGCGGCTTTGAGCACGAACTCCCAGGGCCTCTTCAGTGAGCTCCGAGGCGCCGCAACCCCCGCCGCGACCGGCGGGCCCATCAAGTACAATGGAGGTCCCGTCATCGTCGGAAACCCGACGGTGAACATCTACCATATCTACTACGGCAGCTGGCCGACGGGCTCCGGGCAGGACTACATCGACAACTTCGTTCGGTCTCTAAGTAGCGACTCGGGCGCGCAGGGCTCGTCGAGCGACCCGACGGTGAAGGGGTGGTGGGCGATCACGTCGAACTACTACCAGTCGAGCAGCGGGGCGAAGAAGAACGTGAGCTCAAAGGTGCGGCTCGCGGGGACGACGTACGACAACTACTCGTACGGCAAGGCGCTCACCGACAACAACGTGCTCTCCAGTAAGCCCTTTCTCCCCGACCTTGCTCTGCGCCAGAACTTCGTGCTTTCTAGAAAGTGTTCGTTGTTTGATGCCTGCCACGTGCTTCACGGGAAATTGAGCGGGGGGGAATGCCCTTCCCCCCGGGTGGAGAGAGGGATATGGGGGAGGGGGGGAGAGCGGGGGGGGAGGGATTCCATCAGTGTTAGCACAAATTCTTTCCTCTCTGGATTCCGACTTTCCCGGAAGCTTGTCGCCTTTTGAACACTGTACACCGCCTTGCTTCCTGTGCTTTCACCATTTCATGAGAGTGTGCTGCCGTAGTAGGAAGCTTCGACTCAACTTCCTTCTTTCATGCATTTTCTGACGTTTCCATCGCAGTCGTGAAGAGCAAGATCGGATCTGGCAAGGCCTTCGCGTACGACCCGCACGGGATTTACGTTCTTATATCGAGTAAGGACGTGACCGAATCGTCGGGATTCTGCAGCCAATACTGCGGATGGCACGATGCGGCCTCTATCGGATCATCCCCATTGTACTACGCGTTCGTGGGTCACCACGCCCAGTGTCCCAACGCGTGTGGTGTGAAGAGCACCTCTCCCAATGGCAACCCCGCTATAGACGCCACCATTTCAACTCTCGCGCACGAAATTACCGAAGCTGCTACGGACCCGGATGCTCAGTCTGGCTGGTTCGACGCGGGTGGGGAGGAGAACGGGGATCTGTGCGCTTGGGGTTACGGAACCACACGCAGCTCAAATGGTTACATTTATAACATGGTTGGACTAAATGGAATGAGATTCCTGGTGCAGCAGAACTGGGACAGGCAGCTGCAGAAGTGTGTCTCCCAGAATCCCCTTTCAGGCACACCTTCACCGCCGCCACCCCCTGGAACTGGTACCAAGATGAACTGCCAGTGCACGTGTGCTAGCAGCAGCTCTCCCATGAACTGCCAGTGCTCATGCATGCCCGTTGCATGAAGGCCAGATGGCCCACATAATGCCTTATGGGAACATTCCCAGTGCACGCCACAAATCCCCGCGTCCCAATAAATGCGATACAGTGTGGGGCAAATAATCCAGTGGTAGGTGCAATGCGTTGCAGAAGCGTGCACTGTTTTTGTGCCGTGGAAGTGGAGGGATTATTGATGTATGCCTGTAGCAGGGCCCTCGCTAGTCTCTGAACCCCCCTGAGGCATCAGACGGGCCCGAAGGGCCCGTCTGACTAGTCAGAAATTTTGCTCGCACCTGTCTTACGCATCAGAAATTCTAGCATTATTTGACTTAAAATCAGATTTTGTAAGCTGTCCCTACTGAAACTACACCTACTACTACAGCTATTTTTACATAGAAAAGATAACAGGAACAACTATCTAGCTATCTGAGTCAGAGTCAGATGCCTCATTGTCACTCAGTGCAACAGTTGCACGCACATCCACTCCTTTATCCTCACTGTCGCTATCTACTACGTGTGCTTTCGCTTTCTTCCTCCTCTTGGCTTCTCCGTCATCGGCCGGCGCCTTCTGAGCTGTTGTGTCAGGTGCAAGATCCTCCCTGTCTCCCTGCCTCCCTGCCTCCCTGCCTCGTCCATCTCTGCCTCCCTTCGCTTCGCCTTTGCCACTCCACTGACTTCTTTGGCAGGGCGCCTCTTCTTTGCTCCGCGCCACAGCTTCACCACGTCGTCCCAATCTGGTTCGTACTCAAGCAGGGAGATGCACATGAGGTCCGCGAGGCGCGCATTGCAGAGGTTGTTCCTGAGCCACGACTTGATTACGTTTTGGCGACTGAAGCCTCGCTCGCACTCCACAGTGCTGAGCGGAAGAACAGCGACTGCCACCCAAAGTCGAACCAGATTGGGGAACGAAGACTCCCAATCCCCGCTCCTCAGCATGTTCTTCAGAGCCACATGGAAGGATTGGTCCTTGTATTGCGAGACCATCACGCGGGTGAAACGTGGAAGCTTCCGCTCGGCCTTCTTCCAGTTGACTCCTGCAAGCACACACATCACATCTAGTTAGCATCCCACTAGGCAGATGGATCGTTGCACAAACAGGGGATTAGGGACAACGCGGAAATTGAGAACCCGTACCTGGCAGAGCGCATTGGTCGGCGTTGAACATCTTGCGAAGGGAGCTGAACCACTCCGCGCACACACGGTCGCGCTTGTTCCCGCCCTCCGGATAGGCGTCTGGCAGAAATAGCTTAGACCCAACGAGTGAGTTCAAGCTTCGCATGCGGTACTGAAGCCTGTCGATCACCTCCTTCGCAAACAATTTGGCGAGGGACACGCAGGACTCGACGTCACCCGTGGGATCCTCTTTCCCCTTCGCATCCAGTTCGTGCAGCTTGAAGGTGTGTTTCACCGCGTTGCCGTCTCCATCCATCCCCTCCACTTTGACCACCCGCTTGGACGGATGGGAGTGCGCTTCGAGGAAGGCAGTGAGGTGCTCGCTGTCCTCCGCGAAGTTCACCCCGTACTCCACATAGCGCGCGTTCAACTTCGCGCAGGTGTTTTGCACCTGCCCCATGACACGGGTGATGTCCACCTGCGAAATGACGCACACACACAATGTTATTCATTGACTATCGGGACTTGAGCGACTTTATTAATCTGCGACCGTAAATTACACGCTCACCGATCGTCGCTAAAACCGCTTGTTGAGCTCATTCAATTCCTTCAGGACATCAGCGAGAAAGAAAAGCAAGAAATGAAATTTGAGGCTCGTGACCAGGTGATACGCCGTGCTGTCTTTCTCGTGGAGCAGTGTCAACGAGAACGGACTGGAATGATGAACTAGCAAGGATTGTGAGTACAAATATGAAACCCTAATGTTGTGACCCCCCTATAGGCTAACCCACTACAGCCTACACAAATACAACATGTATAATGTTTGACACACCCCCATAGGCAAAGTGGGGGAGACCAAGGGGTCACAAGACCAGTCAAGGCAAAGCAAGGCAACAACAAGCTCAGGGTGGATCTCAAGGATTCCACACAAATTCCGAGCACAAGCTAGTGGTCACAAGACCAGTTCACATGCAGGTTTATAACAGAGCAAGAGATACAGTGATCACAACCTAGCAAGAGTAAACATGCAGGTATAGATATATATAGTGATCACAGTACAAGCAAAGTCAAGAGGTAAGTAAGTGAGGTCCAGTAGGCACAAGGCCTAGTAGAGTGCAGAAGCGCTGATGGTCACGAGGCTGAAGCGCCTTGGTGAACACATCAGCAGTGTTGGCCTCAGTGGCCACTGACCGCGCTGCTGCAGCTCACGAGCAAGGAAGTACCGCAGGGCGATGTGCTTCGTTCTGTGCTCCAGTCTGTGCTCCTCACACAAGGCAATGGCAGCCTTGTTGTCGACGTACAGTACTGGAGGAGAACAAGGCGGCTCTCCGAGGTCGGTCAGCAGGTAGGTCAGCCAGCGTAGCTCCTGGGCAGCCATGGCTGTAGCGTAGATCTCAGCCTCGCAACTGGAGCCGAGAACAGAAGAAGAGCGTGTAGAGCGCCAAGAAACTGAGCCAGAGCCAAGGCTGAAGGTGTAACCCTGAGACGACCGCTGAGTGGCCTGGTCGTCTGCCCAAGAAGCGTCTGAGTGCCCTGTGAGAACAACTCGGTCTCGCCCTCCAAGCACAAGCCCCATGCCCGACGTACTGCACAAGTAGCGCAACACCCTCTTAGCGGCATCCATGTGCTCCTTCCTGTGACGGCCAGGAGCGACATAGCGTGCAAGGATGCTAAGAGGGTATGCAAGGTCAGGTCGAGTGCAGGTCATCAGGTACATGAGGCAGCCCACAAGCTCTGGATACGGGCCACTCGGCTCTACGGACTCATCCGAAGGCAGAGCTGAGAGCGAGTGACCGGTAGGCAGAGGAGTGGACAGAGGCGAGGAGTACGTGAAGCAGAAGCGCTGGAGAACCTGCTGCACCATGTGTGACTGAGTCAGGGTGATGGTGCGCCGTGCTCTGTCCCGGGTGATCCGCAAGCCAAGATAGCTTGTCAGCTCACCCAGGTCTGTGCACGTGTGTCTCCTCTGCAGCTCCGACTTCACGTAGGCGAGTCCTGCAGTGTCAGCAGTGGCAAAGACCAAGTCGTCGACGTACACGAGGATGTAGAACGGCGGCAGCGAAGTGTCGGTGCGCAGGAACAGCGACGGGTCAGCTGTAGAAGGCGCGAACCCAAGAGCCGCAAGTGTAGTCCTCAGTGTGTCGTGCCACTCACGCGGAGCCTGGCGGAGACCGTAGACCGGCCGCTGAAGCCTCCACTGGGTACCAGGAGGAAACGACCCAGTGAAGCCAGGTGGGCGGTGCAGCCAGATCTCCTCGTGCAGGCTGCCCTGCAAGAAAGCAGTGCTGAAGTCAAGTGAGTGAAGCTCGTAGTCGCAGTGAGCGGCTATGTGCAGCAGCACCCGAAGAGTAGTCATCTTCGGGGTGGGGGAGAAGGTCTGGAAGAAGTCAACTCCCTCTCGCTGACTGAAGCCTCGAGCCACGTAACGCGCCTTGAAGACAGGCGGAGAACCCGGCGGCCGCTTCACCCTGAAAATCCACATGCCACTGACGATGTTCGCCCCAGGAGGGGGAACCTCGTCGACGTAGGTGCGTGTGGACTTCCAGGAAGCCATCTCGGCGTCCATGGCTGTCTGCCACTGAGAGGAGTAGGGACCCGCCATCGCCTCAGCGTAAGTGCGCGGGGTCGGGATGTCTGGTGCATCCGGGTCTCCCTCAGGGGCAACTAGCAAGGACACGAGACGGGGCAAAGCAGCAGCAAGACACTGGAACTCCTCCTGTCTGTCCTCAAGGACGTCCGTGCCAAGAGCACACTCACCCCCGACGGACGGAGGACAGACAGACTCAGACTCAGCAACAAGGCTAGCAGCGTAGTCTAGACGACAGGCAGCAGCAAAGTCAACCAACTCAGCGACCAGAGCAGACGCAGCCGAGGACTCAAAGGTAGGGTCAGTGACAACAGTAGCGAGGAGACGCGTGACAGTAGGGTGCTCAGCACGATACCGGTCAGACTCAGGGGCCGGAACGTCAGGCAAAGAGGACGCAGGAGGAGACGGTAGAGGGACACGCTGAGGAGCAGTAGAGGGACGCAGAGTCATGTAGTGAGTGCCTGGGACAGGAGGAGGACGCTCACGACGGACACGACTACCAGTGCGAGCAGGACGAACAGGCGACGCAGGACGAGACTCAGGCTCACGACGCTCTGTAAGACCTCCTGTGGGACCAGTGTAAGGAGAGGGAGCAGGGAGAGGCGAGGTAGGCGGTAACAGTGACTGCGGCTGGACAGGCGGAGGACACTCTACGGAGGGAGGAGGACAAGGAGGAGGAGCCTGCCCAAGAACCTGCTGAAGGAGCGGTACGAAGTACGGTCGCGGCCGCGCAGCGTCTCCAGAAGCAGAAGAGACTCCAGCGGCCGGGTCCTCAGTACCAGTAGGAGCTCCAGCGTCCGGGTCCACAGCACCAGCAGCAGCTCCACCGGCCGGGTCCTCAGCAGCAGCAGCAGCGCCACCGCTCGGGTCCTCAGCTCCAGTAGCAGCTCCACCGTCCGAGTCCTCAGCACCAGCAGCAGCTCCACCGCCCGGGTCCTCAGCACCAGTAGCAGCTCCAACGTCCGGGTCCTCAGCACCAGCAGCAGCGCCACCGCCCGGGTCCTCAGCTCCAGTAGCAGCTCCAACGTCCGAGTCCTCAGCACCAGCAGCAGCTCCACCAGGCGGGTCCGCAGCACCAGCAGCAGCTCCAACGTCCGGGTCCTCAGCACCAGCAGCAGCGCCACCCCCAGGGTCCGCAGCACCAGGAGCACCACTCCGAAGACTGCAGCGCCGTGTGTACCACTCGCGGATCTGCTGAATGGGGGGGAGCTCCTGGGTAGGAGGGGAAGTACCGGGACGAGCTCCAGGAGCACCTCTCCGGAGGCGGCAGTACTCGA